GACTATCGTGGAGAAGGTTCAATAGCGAGACAAAGGTGAGTGCATTTAATTCGTGTTTGTGTTCTTGCACAAACATTGGCTTACGATGAGCTAGTGGCGAAGTTACAATGGTAAGAAGTGACTCCTATTGTTATGTGAATTGTGATTCTAGCCTAAAGGTTCATTTATTAAGCTTACAGAATTATGAAATTAAGCTAAGGAAACTAATTAAGGAAAGTTGTCTAGAAATTTCGAACAGTCAGTTTAGAAATTTACCATAAATTATACAGAATTGATTAGAAGATGATATCTATACCGTTAGATTCATATATCAGTATAGTTTCATTTAAAAAAGACAGTGACTGATTTCGGGGTGCACACAAAAATATATGAATTTTTAATCGGTGATAAGTCAGAAAACAGAGCAGCAGATTCTGCCCAAAACAGTTTCTATCAATCAACTTTGAAAATTCACTATGAATTGTACAAGTGGAACTAGACGGAGGGCCTTATATGGTTAGATTCGTATTCGAGTCTAGTTTTCATTAGAGCAAATAGAATAATTTTTCAGTATATTAATTCATACATAATAATATTTTTTGAGGATAGTGCAAACTGCCAGAATATAGAATTTTGACAAATTGTATATTGAAAGTAGTGGAAGGCAAATGATTTAAACCTAAAGCTTAGTGAGGCTTATATTTTGATTTAAAAGTAATAATAATAAAGTGTTAAATTAAGTGCAATTTGTTTATTTGATTATTATAGTCGATGACGATTTGTGATAAGTCAGCCTCATTTTGTTTTCCAGTATGATTTATAAATTTTTAGTATTAAATATTTCTATAAAATTTTTCATCAAGTTTTATGAATGAATTTGGGTATGAAATGCCCAAGTAAGATATTTATGATGATAAAATCTAAATGTTTACAGTTATCATATGATTTTCAGTTATTGGATATTTACATATATAAGATATTTTACAGTTATAAAATACAGATTAATAAATGATTCTAATGATGATAAATATAAGCTCATTGTATGTTGCATTGAGAGTCGTGGGTACATTTGGCATGCCATTAAGTGAGTGCTTATCAATTATCAGTTATCAGTTATTAGATCAACTTTGGTACATTTGTGTATCAACGTTATCAGTTATCAGATTAGCTTTGGTATATTTGTGTATCAATGTTCAGCACCGTTGGTGCTCAGGTTATGATTGCACTGAAGTGCATCATATCTCAATTTCAGTTATAATTCGGCACCGTATTAAGCCTAGTGCGCACCTTAAACTCAAGTACCTTATATTCTCTTACATATACATTGTGCTATAACAATAAGTGTGAATGTTATGATAGTATATAAAAAAGAACATAGACTTGAAAAGAAAGTTATGAAATATGTTTGAATGTTAAGAACAAAAGTTATTTCTGATATTTAATGATGACTTACATGATTTTTAATAAAGTTCATGAGATGATGATTTCTTTAGGTTTTCAGAAAGAAAAACGGCTTGACTAGCCCGGTTTGAAATTTAATATTTTTATTTAAATTACACTTTTTTTCTTATATTAATGAAATTTATGGTTTTATATCACTTTAGTTATATTATTGCCTCACTAAGTTTTACTTAGCACGTGATGATTTTCATGCGTAGGTTCGAATAGAGGTCGTGAAGTGAGGAGCTTGCCAGCATCTTATGCAAAATTCAAACTTACCGACAGTATTAGTAAGACATCCTAAGTTTGACTTATTAGTGGCATGTACATTATATCTGTTGGGTTGCTTTATCATATTTATTTTAAAAGGGGATTGTAATAATAATTAGGATTATTTTATTTTGTTTTATCTAATTTTAGGATTAATCGTATTTATGAGTGAATATTATAAATGTTATAATTTAAATGGTTTAAAATCAAGCGGTATTAGACAATTGTATTTGGATATGAACAATACTGAACTGCCTAATTGTTGACTGAAATCAAATTAATTTTCAATGATCAAACATTATTTTATAAATTTATATGATTAAGGAAAAAAATTTAAAGTCAAAAAGGAAATTATTACATGAAACAAAATTTTAAGAATTTAAGTTCAACAAAATATCAGTTAAGTTGATGTGACATATGTAACTCGTATTACGAGATATATATGGGCTATGAGTGTTACATCATATAGATGAATAAACAACTCCCCAACCACTGCCCCAAACATCCCCAATAATTTATTACTTACAACAAATTGTATTTATCCTTTCAAAGCTTGATAATGGTAAAATAAAATAGAAGTAAAAATAAATTAGAATAATTTTTTTTAATATTTGATTCAAGTAAATATATTAATAAATTAATTACTGTTGATTATACAAATATTTTTTAAATACTTTACATCAAAATTATTTAAAAAATAAAAAACCTATTTATTTTTTATTTTTTAAAATTAATTTTTTTTTAATTTATTGTACTGCTGATTTAAAATTTTTAAATACTTTACATCAATTTACAAGCTGCTAAATTTTAAAAAAAATTAAATCAGCAGTAAAATATTTTTATCCCATTTATTTATTAATATATTTTAATTAAAAATATATTAATAAATAAAGGGAATAAAAATGTGATTTTTAAAAAATAAAAAATAAATAGAAAATAAAAAATAAATAGAATTTTTTTATTTTTTAATAATTATGATGTAAAGTATTTAAAAACATTTTTTATAATCAGCCTTAATTAATTTATTAATAGATTAACTTGAATCAAATATTAAAAAAATAATTCTAATTTATTTTTACTTCTAATTTCTTTTACCGTTATCAAGTTTTAAATGGATAAATACAATTTGTTGTAAATTATAAACCATTGGGGATGTTTGGTGAAGTGGCTAAAGTGTTGTTTATGCGTCCATTTGGTCCCAAGTTTAATTCCACCTAAGAGTATTTTCATTCCTTTTATTTTCTATCCAATTGGTTGGTGACACGTGTCACCTCTTGATTGGATAAAAATTATTTAATTAAATAAATTTAAATTAATAAAAAATATTCTCCAATCATTATTGACACGTGTTATTAATGACACATGTCATGCTCCTGTGCTGACACATGTCAGATCTTGATTGAATGATTAACTTATTAAATTTAATTTAATTTATGACCAATTTGAGAGAATATATAAATATTAAGGACTAAATGTAAAAATATACCAACTCTTTTAACTGTCACATTAGCATTTTTGTCAAATACTAAAGGCTAGTGGTCTGATTGAATAAATTAAATAGTTAAGTGGTGTGATTGATAAAATTGAAAGATCGGTGGTAAAAATAAAAGAACTAAACAGTTAATTGGTCAACTGAGTAGTTGACCCTTTAATTTATTACTTTTTGTATTATTCAAATGATTTCAATGATAAACGAATTGTTATTATTTATCCAGATCATGAACTTAAGCACAAAAAATTGTCATTTGATGTATAGTGAAAATTAAAAAGTTCTATATATATATATAAATTTAGGCAAATAAAAGGGGTAATATATGTTAAAAGATTTTTAATTATTTAATAAAAATACTAGTATTTCTAACATTTGCGGTATTAAACTCGAAATCTTAAAAGATGACAATAATTTTTTTAATCATCAAAATCATTTAATTTGTTCTAAGAATTTTAATAAAGGAAAATTAATAAATGATGACTTTAATGGGATAAGAGAATATGATTACATTAGAGTATAACCAACCATGCCGGCCTGCCTCAGAAATCAGCCCAAGGCGATTCAGAAGTATGCCCGTTGCTGAAATAATTTTGTAATGATAAGAAATTTATGTTTTTCTGTATAAGATTTGAACTTTAAACATGATTTTTTTATTAAATTCATATGAATCATTATCGCTGAACCAGCGTACTATTAACAATTTTAAAAAATTAAAATAAAAGGAAAACATTTACATTCAAAAGTTATTCCTATAAGTCATGATTTCAACGTAAATAAATATAAGATATTTAAACGTTTATTATTAAATTATTAAGAATCTTTAAAATAAACACTACAAACTTATTATTATTTTAAATTAATGAAAAAAATTACAAAAACCGACTCTAGATAGGGGTGAGCGTTCGACCAAGTTGAGTCAGATTAAAAAATTGTGTTATTCGGGTTGAAGAGTCTTATATTACAACTCGAAGTTGACTTAAAAATATTTTGAGTCAATTCGAGTTTATAAAATTCGAGTTGAATCGAGTCAAATTTTTTAGTTTCTTTTTAAATTTAATTGTAATATTCACATATTATAATATTATTTAATTCCAATTTAAATGATTTTTTTATAATATATACAATGCGTATATATTTCTTCATAATTTTTTCACATGTAATGTACATATTTCACACAGAATTGGGGACCGTGCAAACCTTAAAATCAATCACTAATTATTAAAAAAAATTGAGTTACTATTCAAGTTGCATTTTTAACTCGATTTGAACTTAAATTTTTTTTTAAAATACAACTCAAAACTAATTCATGAAAGTCGAATTTTGCTCACACATATTCCTCCTTACTGAAATTAGGCGAGTCGAAAGTTGTAAAATTTTCTGAGGAGCTTTGCTTGATTTCTGTCGAGTGTTATTGCTGATGTGAAGCCCAGTTTCTTAAATGCTTTCGGCCCAAGATTTAAATAAACCGGAAAAATGTTGGAACTTCAGCCCAATACAAGTTTCTAAACTACTTCCAGGGAACATTCACTATTTCCATTAAAAAATAAAAAGAAATTATTAAATAAAATAAGAATAAACATCAAATCTTTAAAACATAATCTAAATATATGAAAGGGAAAACGAAAGAGAAAGCTTGTTGAGAGATGGAGAGAGTCCTTAATCTTTATCCGTCATCGCCTTCGATCTATTATTATTAGTTTTGACCAATAAAAAAAATTAAATAATGAAATATTAAATAAATGCATATGCACTAAAAATACTGATGCAATCAAAGAATATGAATTGATTTATGGGGTTTGAATTTAATAGAAAACTGGATCTTGTTTAGATTGGGGGATCGATTAGTGAAGGTGACTCCAGAAAAACTAGGATACGTTACATATTCATGTCTACGTATAGACATCCGTAATTTTAACGAAATGCTCTTAATTAAAATACACAACACTGGTTTAGAGCTTGAGGGAAAGGTCAACTTTGTGTATCTGATCTTCCTGCTTAGTATGCAGAGCAGCTTGGCCCGACCACCAACAACTCCCCATGATTTCATCACCAGGAGAATCGCCCATCATCGTCCTCATTACGTTGTTGAACCGACCGACACTCGCTCGAGACGTCGAATTCTCGGTCGACAACTTCCCTATCGCCGGTTGTTGGTCTATGGGAGGCCTTGACCAACTATGGCGTCCATAAGAGATGTGAGGATTATTAGGCTTACGGATCATCGAATGCACCTGAATTCCCAGAGACCTATTGTATGCACTGTTTAGTGGAAGAGGAGCCAAGCTCGAATAGTGGTTTTGATAATGAAAAAAAGGATGCCCGAAAGCAGCAGCCGAGGCTGCCATGTGAGCTCCGATCCTTTTCTCTCTTTTCGCCAAAATCCGCTCCCTCTTGTGTGCATTTTGGTGCCCCCCGAGAGCCTGTGAACTGTAGAATTTCCTCCGGCAATAGTTGCACGAGAAAAATCGTTGCTGGCCGCCACCGTCGGTATCCAAAGAATCGATAAGGTTGAGCTCCTCTTGATTCAAACCACGATCACAATCACTAGTGACAACATTTAGATCTATATGGAACCTAGGTTTCGCCTCTCCTTCCCAGTCATCTACACCCGGAGGCGCCTCCGGTGTCGAAACTAAGCATGAAGAACTCTCAGAGGGACTAGGTTCTTTCCTCAGATACTCCATAGCTAGACAATGAAATGTTTGTTGAAGGGAACCAAATGCTCTTGAGTGGTAACAATAAGATTCCTATATATGGTAATATTAATTAAATATGGCCCCAATGCACTAGTATTCTACACTATGACCAATAAACGAAGGGTTGGGTTTAGGTTTCTTTGTCACTCAGCTAAAAGGTAGCTTTATCGGAACTCCACCATAAGAGATATAACTAAGTTACCAAAATCTACCTGCAAAAAAAAAAACCATTTCATGCAGGAGATTTTCCCTTGTTTTTTGGCCTTAACATCATGGTGAGTGCCCCAGTAATGGGGGGACAATATGACCTCTAAGTGTTACAAGACGACATAATTCCTCTTCTATCCTATGTACTTAAAACTCCATGTCCCATGCCAGTTACTTTGAGCGTGCACCTCTCACCTTTTTTGTGAGGGTGGGCATTGTTATACGCACAAACACAGATGCTTACATCTAGAAATATGTTGCCTTGATTTGATGGGAACACTAATCGGTGGGGAATGGACCATCTACTCATCTCATGGGTTTAGTTTAAGGACATAATCAACTTCAATCATATATATGGGTGGATATGAAATCATGGGTATTTTATAAAAATTATTTTAAGTCATGGAATTGGGATTTTTCAACACTAACATTCTAAACCCTAAGTTCCGTGGTCACTGTTGTTTAAGGTGTAAATTGTTCCGTGGTCACTTTTGTAAATAATTTTGAAAGCATTGAACTTAAGTCATATATTTTCGTTTTTTTAATTAATGGAATTAAATTTTGACTCTCAATTTTTACGGTTCAATTACCTTTTGAGACATTTTAATTTCAAAATTAGACTTTAACTCCCTCCTATTTTATGATTTAGTTGCTTTTTAAAAATTGTGTTCATCTCACTCATAAATAACTTAACCATCTCATAATCCAATATTCGCTCTGTTCTTATTCATTCTGCAATAATGATAATAGAAAAGTTTGAAATTTGGACATATATGAACTCAATTACTTAACTTGGGGGGAGTTTGAACATCTAAGCTCTTCTAAAGCCATCAACACCGTGACTTCTATAGTTTGTATAAAGAGTATGAAACAACTCTTTTTAATGTGAATAAGGCCACTTAGGGGGTGACATATATACATACACAAACTTTGAAAGAATTTCCCCATTCATAGGCTAATCCCATGCCCATCTTACATACAACTTTATTTGACGTATGTGGTTGAAACTCAAGTGGTGGTGTGGGCCCCCGTGACAAACAGAAATGGTGAAGCTGATGTGGAGCCCCCTCATGCATGATAGTGCCGTCTTAGCTGATCATGAACCATATTTATCATTAGTTTAAACATGAAAACCATATCCTAAAAGGCTTAAACTTGAGATTAGCATAATCTTTGCTTTTTCACCTGGACAATTATTATCCATCACCAAGGAAATGTCAGCTTTAGCCAACTAGATATCTCCCAATCTTAATTCTTAACCCTACAAGCGGGGTCAGTTTCGACAGAAACAAATATTGAGGTGGATTTGGGCATTTCACTTCTATGTAAATACAAAACAACCCACATGATGGTGTCTTTTTTTTTAAGACAATTAGTTGTCTAATCAAATTCAACCGTATCTACCTTTTGAGATTTCCTTGTCTGGCTTTCAAATTAACCTTTGTTGAAGAACCTAAAATCAACGTCACTTCCACATCAAAAACTATCTAAAGGGATCACCAAACTTCTTTTCGAAGTGACATAACATGATACTTCTTTGTAGTCTTATGGATTTGTTGTTTGATTGAAGTAAAGATTCTAGAGCCTATTTGATTTTCGCTTGTGTATATGTTCATTTAAATAAATGAAAACGAAGGCTTGGTATATTTTGTACTAGGAAGTGAAGGGTAGTTTAAGGGATCTTCATCAGTAATGAATGTGTACTTTGATATTTTGGTACACTGTTAGGGTCAAGAAAGTGTGTAATTGAACCAAGAAGCCAAATCACTTCAAGACAAGTGAATGTGAACATGTATGTAACTGGCTTTTTAAAAATGGGCTTTTGCAAGAGGAGAACTGGTCGAATATCTGATGTTTTTGTGCTGTTTTAGCCACGTGTGAGCAAAAGAAAGAAAGTTTGTAGGTTTATATGTAAAGCTAAATTATCGCCATTAGGTATTGGGATATAATATATATATGAGAACAAGTGGGAATGAAATTCCCTTCTCAAAGGGGTGGAAATTGAGAATAAATATTAAAGAAATAAAATAATAAGTCATTTTGTACCAGGCCCAATTATTTGGAAATAGGTTCCAAATCCACTTGTTTGGGTCAATTCAGATTTTGGGTCAAACATTAATTATTAAGTTCATGGTTTTAGAACTACACATTTAATATTTAAATTATCAATTTTTGGTTTATTTAAGTTTTATTTATTTCAAAATCATGTCTAATGTTTAGTTTTTGTTTTATTTTAATATCATACAGTTAAAAATTTAGCAGAACTATTACAACATGACACTTTTTTATAAGTAAATTACATCATTCATCACTCAACTATTACTTTTATTTTGGTCACTTAAGTTTGACCTTTTTAATTTAATTACTTAACTTTCAAATTACTCTTAATTTAATCACTCTAACTTTCAAGTTTATTTATTTTAATTATATATCACAAAAATTATTAATAAAATAAAATAGATTGAGTTTGAAAGTTGAGTTGTTAAAATTTTAGATTTTAGTGATCGAAATAGGAGTGAGAAGATAATTAAGTGATGAACGATGTAATTTTTGAACTTTGCAAATGTTGTGCTATCCTACAAAGTAATTATAAAACGACTCAAAGATACATGGGTAACACAAGAAATGAAAACAAATTCAAGAAACTCTAGCTAGACTTGACAATGACATGCAAACAAATCCTAAAATAAACACAAATTCAAGGAAGAAAATAAAAGTATAAATACAAAAAATTCAAGGGACACGTTAATTTAATCATTTCCTTCCAAATCATCTAAACTGTAAATCACTATCTCTAATCATAAACCGTTAACAAAATAAACCTCGAATAATTCAGCAAAACCATCGTCACTGATCTATTCAACGAGTGGTTCACTTTTCGTATGTGTTGCAGTTGGAAACTTGTGTCGGAACTAGGGGCCGCTAAATGAGCTCACCAAGGTGGGCTTTCGAGGAAACCAATGCTGCTAAAAGCAGAAGAGAAGTGTAACATCGGGCCGGCAAACCGTCAAATTATGTTGTGTTGTGTTCGTTATCTTCTAAACTGCGTGATTGGTCCATAAATCTTTTAAGAAAAAATAGGATGCCGGTTAGAATGACGATATTTCCAGAGTTAATGCTTCCATTAAATTCATTCCATTTCCACTTAGCTCATATCATATATCATGGCTAGCCTTAAGCATGTAAGATTTTTGTTTCTGGTCGTGCTTTGCACATTTCCAAAAAGTTCCGAGCCAGCGATTTTTCCAGTTCCACAAGGAATCAAAGCTGCTTATTGGCCATCCTTTGAATCCTTTCCAGTTTCCTCCATTAACACCTCATTTTTCACTCATATTTACTACGCCTTTCTCTTGCCCGAACCCTCCACTTTCAAGCTCGACATCACCGCGCTTGACCAACAAAAGTTACCCGAATTCAGGTCCGGGTTAAACGCCAAATACCCACCCGTCAAAGCCATTCTGTCCATCGGAGGAGGCGGGAACAACCCGGATGTATTCGCTCGAATGGCGAGAACCGAACAAACACGTGGAGTCTTCATTAATTCAACCATCGAAGTGGCCCGAAGTTACCGATTCGATGGCGTTGACTTGGACTGGGAGTTCCCTGCAACAGGCGACGACATGGCGAACCTCGCTTTGTTGTTCAAGGAATGGAGAGAAGCGCTCGAGAACGAAGCCGAAACTAGCGGGAAACCACGCTTGCTTTTAACTTCTGCGGTGTATTACTCTTCCGAGTTCACTAACTACGGTTCGCCTCGATCGTATCCGGCTCATGCCATGGCCGAATACTTAGACTGGGCGAGCCCGATGTGTTTCGATTACCATGGAAAGTGGGATGACTTCACGGGGATGCACTCGGCTCTTTTTGATCTCAATAGCAGTGATAGCAGCAGCCATGGAATGGGGTCTTGGATTCGGGCTGGGGTGCCGCCTGAGAAACTGGTCATGGGACTGGCATCTTATGGACATACGTGGAAGCTCAAGGATGCGAATGTTAACGGTTTGGTGCGCCGGCAGCCGGTGTAGGACCTGGAGATGAAGATGGGTTCTTTAATTACTATGCCATTGTGGATTTTAACCAAGCGAACAATGCGACGGTCAAGTATGATCGGACAACCGTGTCGTATTACTCGTACGCCGGAGGCTCGTGGATTGGGTACGATGATGTCAAGTCCATTAAGTGGAAGGTCTGGTTTGCAAGGGTTAAAGGCTTGGCTGGCTATTTCTTTTGGGCTGTCAGTTATGACAAGGATTGGGCTCTATCAAGACAAGGTGAGCATTACCCAACTCACTCATTAGCAACAAAAAAATTGATGATTTATATAACTTATTATATTTAAATATAACAATTGATTTCCCTTCCTATGCTTTCAATTTAACAGCAATGGAGGCATGGGAGCAGCAGGATTGGACTTGAGGAGGATTACAGATTTGTAAAATCTTCTATCATTCATTAGGCACTGCACATGCGAACATAAAGATGAAGATCGCGACAATTCTCTCCCAAGTTTTCAAATAAAACATATTTTATTACGATCTTCATCTTCGATTCACATGTGCACTGCCTTGAGAAGAAAATAGAGTTAGAAAATAAATAAAAAAGAGTAGCTTTGATGGTTAAGTTGAGAGGTAGAATTCCGTTTAATGTGAATGTTAACGACGTTAAGTTGGGTATTATCATATACAATACATTCTTAATGCAAGCAAAGTTTGTATGGTACGTAAAACAAGGAGCCGTTGTTCAACGGGCAGAGGGTATAATTTAAAAAAAATTAAAATTAAAAGAAAAATCAATTTATTTAAATTTTACTAAATTCAAAGTAATTAAATAAATATAAAAATAAATTTTTACATGAAAATTACAAAGTAAAAATCAATTTATATATGTCTTATAAGTTCTTGACGATGTCGTGGAGTGGTCGAATGATAATGCCACAAGGCTCGTCGAGTACGCCAAGGTCGTAGGCCTTGATCATCGTCTTCGTCCTCGTTTTGCCGAGGAAGTGTACCTAACTCACTTTTCTATCCACCTTCGAAAGATGGTGATGGATTTATGACATTTGACGCCATCATCGTCGTACATGCTTCAACTTGGCTTTGGTGACCACATAAGATAATGTAACACCCCCAACCCATACCCGACCCTGATACGAGTATGAGGTGTCACATTGACTTTTCAAACATTTTTCTTTTACAGAATAAATAAGTCAAATTCACAATTCAAGAAAATGATTACTTTTCATTCATTTAAAATCAATTGGTTTACAAAACATATCAGAGCTTATACAACTTACATCTTTAGACTACATGCCAACTACACTATATAACAAAATACATATACTCAACTACACTTTTGATCTGATCTGTGGAAGGGAGAATCTGACCTATCTTGCTCCTTTTTGCTTCTCTTCTCGCTTTCCGAAACCTACGTGTGAAACACTCACATTGTAAGTCTATGACTTAGTGAGGCATATAAACACATATAATATGAACTCTATATACTCAATATTGCATGAACATTTCACAATTCAAATCATAATATAATACAAACATCATATTCAAGTTCATATAACCAAATATATATACTTGTACACATATCATCATTATTCTAGTCACATTATTGTCATTGTTACTATCATTAATCCATTTAGAACATATAATTTGATCTAAATCTTTGAAACACTTCATACTAGACCTTTGTCAAACAAAGTGTATAACATCATACAAAATTTATGTATGTTATTTCTTTGTTTAGCCCATGTACACTTTTTGAGAACTAAAGATATGTGAGTACATAGAGGTTGTGCACTATGCTGTCACCACAACTCGTAAACAATCTATTAAGTGGCATATGAAATTTGTGTCCCGAATGACCTATCCATATGTTCCGAAGAACATAGGTAAATGTCCATATGTCCCGAAGGACATAGGTAATCCTGTCCATATATCCCGAATGACATAGGTAAACTATCCATATGTCTCGAAAGACATAGGTAACCCTCGACTCTTGGCATGCCAACTATACCTCTAGCTCTTCTGACACTTAACATGGGCATTCTCTTTTATATCGTTTCACATATTCACATAGTCATATCTCATATGTTTATAGCTTTTATCATATCATTCACATCGTATATCTTATCTTTTGTGATAATGAAATCACATAACTTTGAAACATATTTTCATATAACTCATATAATCCTTTCATATAGTTCATATCTTATTGTCACATATTGCATATCACATATAGTATATTCACATACTTCAATATCCTTGGACTTATTTCACTTTATTACATTAAAACATAGACATGTAGTCTTATGCCTATAAATACTATCTGTTCATATAATATCATTTTATCTTATAAGTAAATACTACTTATTTTATCTCACTTTTCGATTTATTCACCTAATTGTTTATATCAATTCATATGGTTTATTACACAACTTATATCACTTTTCATGTATTACACATATCTTATCACATATCTTATATCACATATACACATTCATATCACATATTCATATAAGCTCATGTTTTTTTATCACAAATCATGTAATACTCTTATGGAATCTCATTTTTCATTATCATAAATCTCATATCACATGGCTCTTAGTTATATTTTCATATGTTCATATAGTCACATAGTTCATTTCACATAACCTCTTATGTTTGGATCATATAACATATAAACTCCTAGTTTCTTATCCAGTATATCATATAATATATTGGTAAAGTCTCATAATCCACTTAAACATATCAACTTTCCTATATAGCTTATTTGACACATTTGTATACTAATTTATGTCAATATCTCTTAACATATATTCTATTCTCATTTTTCATTTAATCACTTAGACTTAATTCATATAATTTATACATTGTTATCATATAACTATTTATATATCCTTATCACACCAAATAACATATAACCTCTATGAATCTATCCATGTATTCATGCATACATAATAGTCATATCAACCACATATACTAACATTCATATATTTATGCAATCAAATATTGGAATTAGACTCATCGCGAGTCTTATTTCCATACACATCATTTACAACTAGTATGCACTCACCTGTGCCTCACTTGCTATCAATTACTCTTATGGCTTACTATCTCTTCTTGATCAATTCTAACCTTTCAGTCGTTCCGGAACTTGCTTACTCTCGATGTATACATAATCATACATTTATATATATCAATATTCTAAATACTTCATTTGTTAAGCCCGAAAATTACTTCATTTCATCGCAAATACTTCATACATTATCCCCTTTCATATTCTTAACTTACATACATATGCTTAAACTTACTTATACTCATTTATCACATCTTTAACCTCAAAATTTCATCCTCCATATGGAATTCAAGAATCAAACCAAATTTTTTACTTGTTCTAAATTCAATTTTATCACTTCATATCTCTTAATTCAACCATTGAAAAGTCAAATTTAGCCTCTAATTTATCTTATCAACTCTTCTTCAAGATTTCATTTAAAAACTATTTAACTTTAATCTCTCCTGACTCTTTCATTTTTTGTTTTAAAGCTAACTTAAGCTTTCCTTAAGCTTAAGTATCACCTAAGTATCATAAAATAACCTTAAATTCAACAAATAAACAACTAACAAGGAAACTCACCTTTGCTTTGGCTCTCACGGTGAAGAGAAAAAATAAAAGGGATAGTTTTCTGGAGACTTTTCCTTCATTTTCCACGTATTATATAGCCTACAAAAGAAAGATAAAAATCTTTCTTATCAAATGACCATTTTACCCTTCTTTCTTTCAATTGTTACTAAACCATCATTCACAAAATATTTCCAATTAAGTCCCTAAACTTTTAACTTATTTCAAAATTAAACACAAAGGTTTCAGAATTTGCATTTTAGTCACTAGCCCTATTTTGGGATATTTCATTGTCCCACTCATCGGCAACCACATGTTTTGTCGAAGACGATTGAGTGTACTGTTGTGCATCCCATGAACTTGCAACCCAATTCGGTCGAGTCTCGATTGAAGTATGAAATGGAGGATTGAAACCCAAACTAGCATAAGATTGTGATAATACTCTTCAGCTGCATATGCTGAAGTGGAAGACGACGACGACGATGCTTTCTTCTTAGACTTGGACTTGGACTTGAACTTGGCGCGTGTGGCCTGACGATGTTATCGTTCTTCTCTCTTGCAGTGTCGGGAGATATGATTTGCCATTTCTTCGTAAAGTCAGAGATAAAGAGATTGACTGAAATCTAAGTCCAGCGGTGTAATGTCCTGACGATAGAGGACTGATAGTTCACACTGATTCAATAGGTCGATGTAGTAAGCGTGTCGCGCCGACCAATTTTCATCATGTTTCCCACGCGTATCAATTGTATGGAGCATGTCCATAGCAACCGTGATTTCCATAGGAATCGACTGGTGCGCCGCAAACTGGCGCATCACTCTATCAACCATGTGCCACTCAATAATCATGTTGAAAACATTTTAATGTTTCGATATAACAAATTAAATTAAAAGAATTTTAATTTTGAAAATGATTTTTCTAAGCATATTCGATATATTAAATCGAATATCAAAATATTACTCAAAGTATTTCAAAATTCATTTTAAATCCTTACCCAAGTGTAAAATTAAGTTTTAATCTTAAAATAATTTTAAAACGATTTTACAAAATATTTCGAACCATTTCAAAGCCAAAACTTCCAGATTGCTCAGAGGGAACCGATTCCCCCCCAAGGGGTACTGATTCCCCCTGAATGGTTTGGATCCGAGAATTCCAGTATGCTCGGAGGGAACCGATTCCCCCCAGGGGTATCGATTCCCCCACTGTTCAACGGTCGAAATATTTAAATTTTACACTTAGGGAACCGATTCCCCATGAGGGGATACCGATTCCCCCCACGCTCCAAGCTATTTTATTAAATGATTTCACACTAAAACGGCTCTATTATCTCCACTAATCATCCCCAACATTCAGAAGTGATTCAAGGTGTATTTAAACAAGTTCTGAAGCCTTTGATCAACAAGAAATCATAGAGAAACAAGAGAGAAAGTATAAAACGCCAAGTTTGTGCATATCAAGCCAATTTTCCTTTCAATATTCATTTTTCTTTCAAGAACACCATTTGTGCTCATTTGTAATTATTTTTTAGTGTTCTTTTCTTGTTCTAGAATTGTCAATTCTTGAGGGTGTTGTAAGGTTATCTCTTTGGCCTCAAAAGAAAGAAAAAATTAGTGAATTTGTTGAAAAATCCTTAGTGTGGATAGCTAAGGTAGTGGACGTAGACTTTGATTGAGAAAGTCGAACCACTCTAAATCGCTGTGCAATTACTTTCAATTTTCTGCAAAAGCTTCCACCAAATTTTTAATTGCCAATTCACCCCCTCTTGTCCAATTCCGTCAATCGATTAACTCAACAATTGGTATCAGAGCCTCACTCATTTAAAGGTTTAATCACCTCTTGAGTCGATCTGGGAAGATTTAAATCGATAAAATGGCGTCTACTTCCGGTTCATTCTCCATGGAAGAATCCAGACCTATTGACGTTCCTCCACACTTCA